CCAGGCTGAATAAAGGAGCTTCTGCTATCGGTTCTCTGGTGCCCTAATCCCAGGGGAGCTAGCCCCAAGCAAGGCGGCCCCTAGCCTCCCTGTCAATGCCCTCTCCTCCATTCCCAGTTTGGAAGGTCCAGCTATCCACACAGAGGGAGTTGTGGGCCGTGCCTGCTAGAATCTCAGGGCCTGCAGTGTGGGCGAGGACCTTTACACCCTAAGTCCACAAATGCCCCCCGCCCCCAGGCCTGCCACATGCCTAGCACTGCGCCTCGCTCTGGGATGCCCCCTGGTGCCCCTTGTTCATCTGAGTCTCTGCCTCTGTCCTTCTGGCTGTCTGGGTCAGGGCAGGAGGTTTGGGACAGGGTAGGAGGAGGTGTGTCACAGAAGGCCTCAGTCAGCCCCCCGGCTCCACAGCCCCGTCTGGAGGTCCTGGGTGGGTAAATCCCTCAAACGCTCGCATTACCCTCCCACTCGGCAGTGATGCCTGTCTCTAGACAGGTCGCCCTCATGAATCTAAATTGGCAGTGAGGGTGCAGGCATCTCTGCCACCCACAGGCATCTCCAGCACAACCTCTTCAAATGAAATCTAATCAGATGGCTACACGTAAGAAGACATATATGCAAACTGTCACCTGATAAATACTAAACAGCCTTTAAAACATGAACAATGTCCATACATGGAACTACACCCACTGACTGAAAATGCAGAGCACCAAACAGAAGGCATGCACCAATCATTATCCTGTGTAAAATTCACTCGGCCACCAGGGGCGGAAATGACTCCTGTGATAGTCAATCAACTAGAATTTGATGGACACAAAGTTCTTTTGATCTATAAGGCTAAGTGAATAGTTTCTAATGGGTCTCTGATACAAACCCATTTCCTCTCCATTTATCTTAAAATCGAATTGAAACCAGAGCCTAAAAGACAGCGGGGCCCAGACGGGCAGGGGTAGCTGAGCAGATGGGACCACGACACTCACCCTCCAAGCTGCCTTCAGGTGCAGCCAAGCCACGGCCCTGCTCCCGGGAGGTGCCAGCTCCAGGCTGCTAGCTCATGACAAAGACTGAGCATCCTGACGCACAGGAGAGCTCTGCAGGCCCCCATAGGCCCCCAGGAGAGGTGCTCGGGGGCTCCGGCTAATGAAGCTCCAGCCAGTGTTTGGCACCAACATGGCATCACAGGGGAGGGGCACGAGGGGGAACCAGAGAAGATCAAGAACTGCCGGCCCTGAAGGAGGTGACAATTCCTTCTCAATCTCGTTGGGGTGACACACGGTAGGAGGCCACGTGGGTGCCCATCATGCTGGGGGAAGTCATCGGGTAACTGTGGTGATGGCAACTTGCTCATCCATTAGGAAAACTAGGTTAGATGTGCGTGCAGAGCGCAAAGGATCCCAAAATACAGGGCCGAGAGGGAAAGTCAGGAATAGAATGAGCTGTAAAACAGGGTACCTCCTAGGTAAATTAAAAACATGTACAGTTTCAAGAAACCATCACAGCCAGCGGAGCCTAAGGAGGCAGGATACCTATACGTAATGTGGCATCTGGGATGCGATCCGGCACAGAAAAAGGATAGGAGGTAGAGGCTAAATAAATCTGAATAAAGTAGAGATTTTAGTTAATGATAGTATATCAATACTGGTTCATTAATTGTGATAAAGGTACCATATTAATGCAGGGGCACCTGGATGGCTCAGTCGGTTAAGTGTCGGCTCAAGTCATGATCTCACGGTCGTGAGATTGATCTCCATGCTGGGCGTGGAGTCTGCTTAAGATTCTCCCTCTCCCTCCCCCCTCCCTCTCCCTCTCCTTCTCTCAAAAAAGAAAAGAAAGAAAGAAAAAGAAAGAAAGAAAAGAAAAGAAAAGAAAAGAAAAGAAAAGAAAAGAAAAGAAAAGAAAGTACCACATTAATATAGATGTTAATAGTAGAGGAAACTGGGTACGGAGTAGATGGAAACTCTCCGTCCAATTTTTCTGTAAATCTGAAACTGTTCTAAACAATAAAGTCTGCTTTTTAAATGAAAAACTTGCATAAAGCAAGAACAGCGCCAGGGCACTTGCTGGGATGAGCACTGGGTGTTGTATGGAAACCAATTTGACAATAAATTATATTTAACAAAAATTAAAAAAAATTAAAACATTAAAAAAATTTAAAAAGCAAGAACACCACCATCCACTCCCCCAGGAACATACTGCACTGGAACGACTGCCTGTGGAGGGAACAGGCAAGTATCAAGGCGGGCGTTCAAGTACATGACGCGAGGGTCCTCCCTGTACGCCAATGGTGATAATGTGCCACGACTGACAAGTGCCATTAACCTAACGCTTTGCATCAGAGGTCCCAAAACTAACAATGATTAATTTTCAGAAAAGAGAGAGAGAGAGAGACAAAACTGCAGGAGAGTAGGTCACAAAGGCCACATGAGTGGAGGGGGCTCTGGGTTGCTGAGTGACCTGGAGGGGTCTCGTGCGGCAAAAGAGTTAAACAGGCTTCGAAGCTGGGGTGGGGGGCCGGGGGTGTGGAGGTTGGCGCTTTGTGCTGGTTGCAGACCAAGGATGACCATCCAGGACACGCTCCATGCCCCCATCTAACACTGGTCAGTCCCAAGAGCTATTTCTGGGCCCTCCGAATTCCCAGCCAAAGCCAGGAAAACCTAAATGGAACCTGCTGGTGGGCAGCAAAGCTGGGCAGTGATAGAATAGTCGTAAGAGTTGCCAGGGCAGTTATATTCGAATTTCAGATCAGCAACAAATAATTTTTTTAGGATTAGGTATATCCCAAATATTGCATGGGACATACTTATACTAAAAACGGATTTGCTGTTGATCTGACATTCAAATGTAACTAGCCATCTTGAATCTGCTAAATCTGGCAACTCTAATTAATAACAGTAGTGACATGCACTATTACTGTCCTAAGTACTTAATTTACTTCTCTTGTTTTCCTCTTCAAACAACCTCCTGAAGAATACATCGCTACCCCCTTTTTACAGACATGGAAACTTGGACGCCAGACCTGGGATGTGAACATCTGTGTAAAGAGATCTTGAACATGATGCTGTGCCCCAACTAAGTGGCTGAACAAGGCCCAGGCCTCTGCTCCCTGACACCCAGAGACAGGTGTGTCCACAGTGGTGGTACCAAGCTCCTTGCATGGTCTTCAAAACACATTACCACCTGAAAAACCTTCCCACCAGACCCAATTCATCAAGTGAACTTTGGGTTTCAAAGAGGGAAAATCAAGGGAGCCCCAATGAGTCCTAAAAGAGTACAATCTTCCTGCATTGGTGGAAAGAACAAGAAGGGAAGCAGTTCCTACTTTGAGGGTCTAGATAGGCAGCACACATCAGCAGGGCAAGGGTCGGAGCCGAGCCGCATGCCATCCCTCCTGGAGACAGAGAAATGGATGAATGACCCCTGGCAGTCCTGTCCAGTTTGGGGACAGTATTAACTTGAGTCCTACAAAACCAGTTTCTAATGAGAATGACACCCCACCCCTCAGCATGACTCATATTTAAAATAATACTAAGGAGCATTTATTGAGCACCTACTATGTGTTGCACATTGTGCCAAATGTTTTCACTGCCCATCAATTGCTGGGGCATGTAAACCTACAGTCCAGCAGGGCATTTGCCTATTTTGCAGATGAGGAACCTGAGACACGGGGAGATCACTTATTTATTCAACTACATGACTTTACTGTTCAGACTCTGTCCTGAGTGCTGAGGATGCAGAAGTGAACCAAACAAGACCCCTGCCTTCATGAAGCTGGTTGGGGCACAGATAAAAAAACAAATCTAGGGGCGCCTGGGTGGCGCAGTCGGTTAAGCGTCCGACTTCAGCCAGGTCACGATCTCGCGGTCCGTGAGTTCGAGCCCCGCGTCAGGCTCTGGGCTGATGGCTCAGAGCCTGGAGCCCGTTTCCGATTCTGTGTCTCCCTCTCTCTCTGCCCCTCCCCCGTTCATGCTCTGTCTTTCTCTGTCCCAAAAATAAATAAACGTTGAAAAAAAAATTTTTTTTTAAATAACAAAACAAATCTATTATGTTGTTTCAGGTAGCAGTGCCAAGTGTGATGAAGAAAAGTAAAGCATGGTCAAGGAACAAAGTGATAGGGTGGGAGTATTTTAGCTAGGATGGTCACGAAGATGTCTGGAAAGAGGTGACATTTAGGCAGAGGTCTGAAGTGAGGGACTGAGCATGCCCAGGTCTGCGGAGGGTGCCCAAGGCAGAGGGGACAATCAGTGCAAAGGCCCTGAGGTAAGGGTGACCAACACACAACCAAGATAATGCCAATGGGCTGGAGGAGGTACAGGAAGGTGGGAGGGGTAGAAGATGAGTTCAGAGGGGATGGTTAGGCCAAGTCATCTTTAAAGGATCACTGTGATATGAAGAAATGGATGGATGGATGGATCCAAGAATGGATGGTCGGATGGACAGATGGATATGTAGATAAATGGACTTCCATGGATTCCTTTAGGCTGCTACTGACCAGGGATGAGAATATATGTAGTTCACAAGTTGTAAAATATGTCCAATGTTCAGTTTCCAATTAATCATCTCCCTCAGAGGGCCTCAGGCAAGCACATTTCCTTAGTGAAGTATATGCCCTAGAGAGGAATTTGATCCAAAGTTGCACAGGCAATCTGGGTCTTCATTCCAAGGAAACCATTTGAAGAAACCAAGACAAGGCAGAAATGTCTTGCCTCCAATCTCTAGGCCAATGCCCACAGAACAGGCTGGACATCACCATCACTGCCTTCACCACCTGGGACTCCCCTAGGCAGAGGCACCAGCTATACCAATGCTCTTCCTCAAGTCTTTGAACAAGAAAATCTTGTATGCTCATCAGATTTAAAAAAAAAAACAAACAAACAAAAAAACAAAAAAACCACGCCACCTGCCAGAACAAAGCCAACACTCCCGGCAGGTGACACTGGTCACCAGGGCCCCAGTCCTGCAAGGCCATCCCATCCCACGACCCTTTACCACCTGCCCAGCCTCACCTCCACATCCTTCTCGAGCTCGAGCCCGGCCTCCATCAGGTTGTGCTCAAACTCCTCCCGCTGTTCCTTCCTCTCCTCCTCCAGGGCATCAAGTGGTCCCAATTCAATGTCACCGTGGCCACCAGCACGAGGTTCCTTGCCCGTCTCCCCATTGGAGACAATCGCCAGCGAGGGGCCAGGGGAGCCATGGCCAGGGTGCACCCCGCGTTTCCGGTAATGGTAGGCGAGCACATAGTCAACCTTCCTCTGGTTGTCATGGAAGTGCATGCGGCTCAGACGGGCCTCCGAGGACACTGGCTCGTTGGCGTCCAGGTAGTTATTGATGACCTGGCCAGAGAGAACGGGACAGAGACAGAGAGGTCCACTGAGGAGGAGTGAGAGATGGAGGAGGCTGACCCTGTGCTCTGGGCCCAGGGCGGTGGACTAGGAGGCAAGGCCCTCAGGCCCAGTGAAAGGACACAGTGGCCTAAATCCTTCCACCATACCCAGCCCACTCAGCCCTCCACCCACATGTACACAGCCTGGACACCGATGCCTTCACTCCTGCCCTGGCATCCGTGCACACACGTATGCTCACATGCACAGACGACACGTGCAGCAGCAAAGCCCTGTGCTTCCGCACCTGCCTGCACACCAGAGCCATGAGCCACCCCTGCACACGCACACACAGCATCCACACACAGCACCTCTGCACCAGCTCTCCTGCACCCATCTGTGCACAAGTGCACTCTGGCACACGCAGCCCTCCACATGCACGGTAACACACCCACGCACACTCATCTCCTTGCAGATCCACCGGCCTGCCTACAAACGCATGCACGCTTACACACACAGATTACTCACTGGCAAGTTCTCTGGATCCATTGGAACAAGGGCCAGTTTCTTGTCACCCGGCCCACCCCAGCCCCACCCCACGGGGATTCACTCTACACTATGCCCCTTCACAGCCCCACATCCTCCTCCTCCTCCTCTGCAGCCACCAGTGGGGACAGCAGCAGGGGGACTGACTTCTGCTCCCGACCAGCCTGGAGGTGGGAGGTTGAGAGAAGAGGAGGGGAAAGAACAAGGCGGAGCAGGCGAGGGACCTGCCTCCCTCCCTTTGGGCGTCTCCCTGTTTATTACTGGTTTGGTACCCGCTGCCTCTGCAGCCACCTGGGAGGTCACCTGGGCAACCAGATGAAGCGCCAGCCACAGGGGAGAGCCTCGGAGCCACCACGGCAGAGGTCTGGTTCCTCAGACCTGTGAGGGGAGCCAAGGAGTCTGCAGACCAACAGGTGGGCTCACGTGGCCTCACACCTCCCTCTCTCTGTCCTCTGACCACAAGACTCCAGCATAGTCGGGACACTGTACCACCATGACTTGGAGAGAGAGAGGAAAAGGCCCTAAGAAAAACCCTGGAGATCTCTCTCTCTCTCTCTCTCTCTCTCTCTCTCTCTCACACACACACACACACACACACACACACACACACACACACACACAAACCCCTGCCCCCCAGGTGGAGAGTGTCTCAGTCAAGAGGCTCCCTTTGGGCCCCCAACAGGGCCAGCCTTTACCCCACCCCAGCACTCACCGAGCTGCCACAGGAGCTCCCTCCACCGGAGGGCGGGCCAGAATCTCGGTCATGGTCAGAACTGCCCTGCGGACCCGGGGCTTGGGAACCGGGAACCCTGAGGTATTGCTGGCCACGTTTGGGGCCCTGGCCATCTCTGGCCACTGCCCGAGGGCTCAGCCGGCGTGGGGAGCCAGGGAGCAGGGGGATATCTGTGAGAGGAAGAGACAAAAGAGGCAAAGCAGCTTCAGGTGACAGAAAACCCAGGACACAGAGAAACTGAGGCACTGATGGGAGGGGAACTGGGATGTCCCTAAGAAAAAGGCCACATCTCCTCACAGCCTTGGTTAGCCAGGGGGGAAGAGGGTCTCAGCCGCTATATACACACGCATGCACACACACACGCACACTGGGCATGGAGCCACCAGCAGGAGCCCCTTCAGATGATGGGTGTCATAACCTCTTATAATTCCCAAACAAGAGAAGGTGGCTCCGGCAAGCCAGGGTAAGTGGAGCACTCCTTGGAGAGACACCTTGAATTAATGCCAAAGTCTTAAGTTTGGGGGCCTCTCCCAGGGCAGCCAGGCAGCCCTCATGGCCCGAGGAGAGAGCAGAGAGGAAGACAGACCAACTGTGGGGCCCCTGAGGGCAGGGCCGGGCTCTGACAAAAGCACTGCCTCCAATGTCCTTGAGGGGTTCCCATGCACCTGCTGCCCCCACCGGGGCCTCGGAGCTCCACAGCCCCTTCTGGGCCCTCCCCAGAACAGCCCCCGAACAACCCACAGCGGGAGCAGCAGTGCTATTTCAGGGAACTTCCAGCTTCACCCCTGGAGGGAAAAGACCCAGGCTGGTGACAGAATTGCAGAATGTCACAACTGGAGGGGACTGAAGCATTAAACACTCCGCTTTGCACCAAAAAGCCCCAGGCCGGGGCCATGAGCTAGCTGCCAGGGCCTTGAGGCTGATGAGACTCGATCTGTCCCTGCGTCTGAGAAATACTCTCTCCAGCAAAGCAGCAAACCCAGTGCGCCTGGGCCTAACCCTGAGCTCTGCCACTTGCTCTGAGACTTCTCTGAGCCTGTTTCTTCAACTGCAACATGAGAATCCCACACTTGCAGGGTTGTAGTGAGAATCCGAAGCAGAGATGTACATGCGAAACACCCAGGGCAGTCATCAGCCCATGGGTGGGCAATAAAAGGTGCTTATTATAATTATTATTATTTTCATTTTGAGCTCCGTGTAAGAAGAAATCATACCATATACATCCAGCTCAGCCCTCAGCACCTACTGAATGAATGAAGGAACAAAAAGCAGCTGGAAGGAGAGCTTCTGATCAGTGACCAGCTTGTAGAGCAGCCCCTTAGGTGCCCAGCTCTCTGAAGGACAGTTCAGGAGCCCTAGGACACTTGGTCCCTACACTGGAAAATCTTATCATCTCTTTATGAGGACAGACCTGGCAGGTAGGAAGCACAATGAAGACCAGCAGAGGAAAGCTCTCATAATTTACTTCTACACTGTGGGCTCTAGTCCGTATTGTGGAAGACCAGAAAGGCTAGAAGGCTTCCTGAGGAACTGAGCCTGAAGCTGGTCTCAAAGGGTGGACAGCTTCTGAAAGGCAGGAGAGAGAACACAGAAAAGCAACAGTGGGTATGCATGCTGGTAGAGCGACAGGGGGCAGTTCAAGACATCATGGGAGTGGATTCTCTCCTCGGTCCTTAGTCTCACCTCATTCCTTTCCCCCTGTGCCTTTCTGCATGCTTGCCCGCCATCTGGCCCAGGGCAGCATTGAGAACAGGGCTCTACAGCCCAGAGACGGCTTGAAAACCTTCAGATGCATGTCTAAGGAGCCCAAGACCATACTGATGCATAACTGGGCAGATGACAAAGGTGACGTTCACTCAAGCATCCTTGACAGCCATATTCATATTCACACCTGTGACTCAAGATAGCTCATATTCAGAGTCAGCCCAAAACTTTGGTCAAACCATTATCCGGGAGCCACGGTCTCCTGAAGGTATAACCTGGGGTTTGAGGCTGGCCTTCGGGGCCCCACCAGCCATCCCAGCAGCAACCTCTGCTTGCCTCTGACACATAGACCATGGCTGCATGAGGCCCTGCTTTTATGCCCACCTTTTCTCCCAACCAACGAGAACACAGCATATGGCTGAGTTGTTTCAGCTGCAAATGACATACCATGCAGTAATGACACAGAGGTGGAAAGATCCAAGAGAGCTGGCTTACACCATGAAATGAAGGCTGTGATGGCAGATGGGGGGAGGGGGTGGGGGGGCGGGGGCTGGGATGTGAGCGATGTCTGGGCATCAGGAAGAATAGGGCAGGTGAACACACTCCACAGGAATCCTCTAAGAAGCTGAAAAAAGGTGAATTGGGGTTGATCCGAAGTAAAGGTCATCATACACAGCTTATGGAACATGATACTCATTTGAAAATAATCTTTCCTTCGTTGACCATTTACTTGGCTCTTGGTACATGCCGCCTTGCAAAACAGATCCCTGGGTGTTCAGGATTAGCTGCCTTCTTGGGTTATGGATGCCCTGAAGGGCATGGCTCACCCACCTCTGGATACCCTGGATGGATTTTCACAAGGCTTAGACCTGGGGCCTCTTTTCTACACTCTTACCCTTTTCTACACTCTTTTTCTACACTCTTACCCTTGCCCTCTATCTGCTCCTATGCCCTCTATGCCCTCCTAGATACTCTATCTGCTCCTATGGCCTTAATGATCACCTACATCCCCATAACCCTCAATATTTTGCCTTTAGCCCTTACTTTCTTCTAGCTTCTGATTCCACACATCCTCCCGCCTACCTGGCATCTCCACTTGGATGCTTCAGAGCTCCTTCAAAACCTCCACCTCCAAAACCAAACTTACAATCTGCTCTACAAGATGACTCTCTTCCAGGATTCCCTACGGCCATGAATGCCACCACTACGTTCAGTCCATACACCAGAAAGCTACAGGCAGCCTCCAGAGTCTTCTTCCCTCATGCCCCACAGCCAATGTGTCACCACCCCTATGAATTTTGCCCTGAAATATCTCCCAAATCCATCTGTTTTTCACCACCTCCATGACTACCACCCTAGCCCGAACTACCACACTTATTCAGCTGGATAACCCCAGCAGCCTCCCAATAGCGCCTACTCCATGCGCCCTTGCTCTCTCTCCTTCACCGTTCTCCAAAGGCAGCCAGGGGGTCCTTTCAAAATGTCGACCTCGCTATGACACCCACGTGTGTGGAGATTTCTGGTGCTTCCCACCACTCTCAAGCTGTGAACCCCTGCACAGCCTGGCCCGCTCACGTCTCCACCTCATCTCTCCCCGTGTCCCTCTGCATTTCTGAGCTCTGGCCATACCACGCTGCTTGCAGTGTCTGGAATGCACCATACTCCCTCCCGGCCCAGGGTCTTACCCATGCTCCTCCCTCTGGCTACAATGTGCTTCGTCTAGCTGTGGGCCGCCTGCTATTTTGGCCATTAGGGACCCAGAAAATCAGAAGTAACACATTCCTGTCTCGAGAAGCTACTGATCAAGGTATAAGACAGAAATAGTCAGATACTAGGCCTGGCATTGCCAGAATTTCAGAAAAATAATGTATTTTCTCTGCACATTTTACTTCCGTGATTGAGAGGAGGGTGTCATTACCACATCTTTCCCTCACAGGGTGAGTGTGATGATACGGTAAGAGAAGAGATTACAACTCCTTGGAAGTACGTGAGCTACAGAAAACGTGAGGGATCTTTACCAAATCCTACTCCGGGGCTCAGGGCCTGCCCCCTTCATCTGCACCTGCCCACCCCGATTTCTCTGCTCCATTCCAGTCACTGTGCCCTAAGTCCCCAGAATTCCCCTTCTGTGCCACCCACCTGCCTGCTGACTACTCACCCCCTCCTGGAAGTTCTGGACTAGGCAGCTGTCTATCCCCCATGACTGCAACTTCCTTTCTCATCTGGGACCATCACACACTTTCTAATCCTTTCTTTTTAATGTTTATTTTGATTTTGAGAGAGAGAGAGCACAAGCAGGGGAGAGGCAGAGAGAGAGGGAGAGAGAATCCCAAGCAGGCTCCACACTGTCGGCACAGAGCCTGACGTGGGGCCCGAACTCGCAAACCATGAGATCACGACCTGAGCCAAAACCAAGAGTTGGACACTTAAACGACTGAACCACCCAGGCGCCCCTCTTATCCTTTAGAACCCACTATTTCAGGGGTGAACTCTGTCTCTTCTAGAAGGATCCAATTTCCACCACCCAGAAAGGCTGCAGGTACCTCAGGCTGTGCTATAGAAGCAGACAAAGAAGGAGCAGGATCAGAGATCTGCAGGGAAAAGAACAGAGACTATAGGCAGGGAGAGGCCCAAATCTCAATGAAAAAACAGGTATAGCTTGTTTTCGGGGTCCTCCCATGGCCTGCCCTTTCACACCCTACCCAAGACCCCACCCAGCCATGGTCCCCATTCTGTGCTGCACTTTCTCACCCACCACCAGGGTCTTCCAACACCCATTCCCCCATTTAGCTCTTGGCTGTCTTGGCTGAGAAGCTAATACACTGCGAAGTACAGGGAGCCCTTGCTGGCATCCCGAGACAAGCGATACAATGAAAGCATTCTGAAAACTCTCAGGGGCTCTGGAGATGCCGCTGGCCCTGCAGGGGTCCAGGGGCAGGGGTCTCACTGTGAGGAATACTCTCTAGTGGTGGGCACTGCTACCCCACGCTGGGTGAGGGGAGGGCTGCCACAGGGAGAGATCCGGACCCTTCGACTCATGCCTCAGCTCTCGGGCAGTTTGGCAAGAACCTTCAGGGTCACAGCCAAGGATCAGAGCAAGGAGGGGCCCCTGAGTTGGGGAGCCGGGCAGGAGCAGACTGTGGAGAGTCGGGTGGGGGGCTGGTGAGAAGAGCTCGGGCAGTAGCTGATGGCAGGAAAACTGGAGCAAAGGGACCCGGAGGCACAGTCAAGAGCAAGGCGGCAGCAGCCTGCACAGACGGGGAGCAGGAAGTGGGTTCAACGGGCACAGAGGAGGGTGAGGTGAGTCACCGGGGCCCTAGGAGGTTTCCAGAGCCTCCAAGAAAGAATAGCAGGAGGTGGTTTCCTGTGGGAGCAGGACCTCCAGGCAGCACGGCTCTTCCTCGAAGCTTCCCTCATGGCGTTGTTACTGCCTCACTACTAACCACTGGCAGGGCAAGTGTGGGTG